CCCTATATGCTATCTATTGCTCTTTTGTAATAATCAAATGTATATGTGTATAATTGGCGCTGTGGATAATATTATCTTTCCAGTTTAGCTTCTTGTCTAAGATGACTCCTAGAAATTGTGATTTTGTGTCCCTAAGCTAAGTTAAATGCCATGAAGTACTGGTGTGTTGATTGCGGGGATCTTGTAGCTCCTTGTAAATTGCAACAGTTCTACTTCTAGTTTGAGTTGAAGCCCATGCCACATCGGGTGGACCAGAAAAATACCTCTCTGAGTGTTCTCTGCATCAAATCACATAAGGTTTGTGGAAATTCACCTCTGTATGCATTGCCGAGATCATGGCTTAGCATCCACCCTCTTTCATTTGCGTTAATAGTGAGTTTATTGAGAGGTTTCAGAACAATGGGTGAGAACTCCACTCAGTGCGTGCGTTTGCTATCCTTCAAGGTTCACGTTTATAACCCTGCTTAGTAGCAGTTTGTTGCTGAATCCCAATAAGCTCAACAGTCCAACTGTAACTGCACTTGGTTAGATGTTGTTGAAAGCCCTCTCTATATAACTAGGAATGCAACAAAATAGAACTCCTTGTTTGTAGCGCAGTTTCTGTCAATTTTCTCTCCTGAAAGGAAGTTAATACACTATTCCGATTACGTTATTCGTGCTTCATTTTTACTAAGCCTAAACTATCAGCTGTCGATTAGAGACTCCGAAAATACTTAGGCGGGTTTTTTTTAGATTTGAACTGATACCCGAAGAGTGTTTCTGTAAAGTATGAATATTTCTGAAAGACTTGTCACTTGCTCAAATTTAAGTTAAGGACAAATTTTCCTTGCGGGAAGTGGTCCTGTGACTAATCTATCCACAAAAATCTGATTTTTGTTGTTTGATTTACTTTAGGTTTGGTACTTGTAAGGATCATCTTGGTAATGGACCAGAGACTGACCTATTCGAAAAAGTCGTAGTTATGGCATCACTTACGTGAAACCGTGAAAAATAAATATTTTTTTGTTTATATGTAGATAATCAATTTATTTTCTTCTTGGAAGTGGACAAGGGGCTAAGTTCGATTTGCTTGAAATTTTGCACCCAAAGATGGCCAACCGAAATAACCAATCCAGGTGTTCATCATACTGTATACATATATCGAGAACTGATGAGGAAATCAAGACGCATTTGCAGGACAAAAAAGAAAAAGGCCGAAATGCATGAGTATGAGGAACTTGAGAAGCTGGCTGACAAGGGTAATGCTCGAATATTCTACGAAAAGATACGACGACTTACTGAAGGTTTCAAGACCGCAGCAAACTCTTGTAGGACCCACTGGGGTGAGTTAGCGACGGATGTCCAGAGTATACGAAATTCATGGAAGAAACAGTTCTCCAATCTGCTCAATAGTAGTGAAATTGGAGAATCTGGAGATGGTGAACCCGAAACTCCAACTGATGGCGATGGAAAAGTTGTTCCGTTACCCGATTATGAAAGAGTCGGAATAGCCATCGCCCGCTAAAAAAACAAAGCAGTTGGAACCGATGAATTACCGGCAGAGCTATACAAATACGACGGTGAAGAACTGATCAGGTACATGTATCATCTTCCTTGCAAAAAATGGTTGGATGAAAGCATGCCCAATCCAAAAAAAGTGTATCCCCATCAAGAGTATTGTGTGAAAGACTAAAGCCCACCGTCATCAAACTGATTGGACCTCATCAGTGTGGCTTCAGACCTGGTAAGTCAACCATTGACCAGATATTCACCAAGCGCCAGGTCTTGGAAAAGACTCGTGAAAAGAGAACTGACACACACCACTTCATTGTCGATTTTAAAGCTTGAAAAGGAGCTCCTCTCCGCCGCAAAACTTATACAGTTATGTAAACCGACCTTAAGCAGCACTAAAAGCTCCGTCAAGATCTGGAAGGACCCCTTCGAGCTGTTCGATACCAAACGAGGCTTCAGAGAAAGTGATTCTTTATCGTGTGACTTTTTTAACTTAGAGCTGAACAGGGAAGGTACAATCTTTTATAAGAGTGTACAGCTACTACCGTACGTCGATGATATTGAAATTATTGGTCTCAGCAATCTCTCTCGACGAACGAAAACCAAATTCTACATGTTGCCCATCATACTCGTCCTGCTATATGGCGCAGAAGCGCGGACTATGTCAACATCTGATGAGTCGGCTTTAGGACGTTTGCTCATTGGCAACGGCGAATAACCGCAGACGATGGACTATTTTTTACTAGCGTCGAGGAGAAAACAATTTTCTGACATACTGCCCCAATTGTTTCGAACGAGTCGCGACGGTCACTGGCTCGAAATTGTTTTAAAATACGTATAATGCAACTCTTATCCTTATAATAATATTTTATCTTTTATTGAAAACCCCACGAGTAAAAAAAGCACCCATTTTAATTGGCGCATCGTAACCACTGAAGAGATTTTGAACCAAGCTCCAATGGTGGTGTGAGTCTTGATGTTTTTCCTACGATTTATTCTAAGCTTGTTGGTTTTTATGAAGAGCTTTTTCATTCATGTCAGAAGACAGTCGGAGGGGTTAACATTCCAAGCTGAGAGATGTCGACCCCAACCGGAAGAATTATTTTATTAAATTAAATTAAAGAATATTTAAAATAATTATCTTTAATTTTGGATATTAGTCGGTCCATGACTAGAACCCAGTACCTTCTGCAAGGTGGTACGCACCGGTAACCTCTTAGCCGGAATCTGCTCAATTCACCGTTACGCTCGCTGAACAACCAGAAGTCACGCGCAGCAAGATCGGTGGGTACTATAGTTGTGAAACCTAATGAGGTGAATATTTTGCATGAGGCTATGCATTACAGTGGTGGAAAAACTCTAACTTTCCTTATTCAAGGTTTGACCAAGCTGAGGGATTACAAAATGTATACGACAATCCGAATTTTTTGGGTTTTATCAGACCTTCAATTCTCTTTTTATGCGAACTTTTTTTATACGGTTTGAAGTTATGCGATTTTTCCTGAGAATATCCTACTATTTTTTTATTACAAGATTTTGGGTTTATACGTTGTTTTTATTATATTATTATATTTAGTATTTTGTATAGGATATCAATTTTTAAATATTTCTTCTATACTACGCAGGCAAGCAATTTTAGATTGCTTACTGTATCGAGAAAGGTTAATGCAGCAACTGCCCATCCTACATACCGTACAGCCAAAACACCCAACTGTAATAAAATATACAAACATGAGTATGTTCTGCGGGACAATCGTCAGTAACGGCAACGACAAGCGGTGACAACTTCTCATTTACATGGCGCTCTTATAAGATAGTTTGCTATGAACGGAAGGTATGTAAGATGGGTAGTTGCAGCATAACTGATATTGGGAGACGTTTTCACTACGGTGAATCAACAATAAGAGCCATTAAAAAGAGTAAAGTTTCCAGGGTGAGCTGACAAATTGCATTTCTGGGTATAAAGAACTACAGAAAGGTTCCCAAAGCTTAACAACTGATTTTCTTAATAAATCAGGAGAACCTTCAGCAGGTGAAAGTAACGTTGAATCTATTGATGTAGTTGCAATCTTGTCACAAAAAGAACTGACTGTCTATGCCAGTGATGATGATGATTTCGCGCCAGTTCACAAACGTCTACGGATGTTATCAGAAAGCGAAGATAATGACTAAATATATTTAATTTTGCGATATTTTTTATCCAATGAGCTTTTAAAAAATTCTGGAAGGAAAACTTATTAAGAAGCGTTTTTTAGCCGAGCTCCTCCTCCAATTTGTGGTTTTGCGTCTTGATGTTTTTCCTACAAATGGAGCAACCTACAGTTTATATTAAGTCGCCTCCAAACGGCTGATGGTTTTTTATGAGGAGCTTCATTTCATGTCAGAAATACACTCGGAGGGGTGTCACCGAGGGGCGACCGCAGTTAGAAAATTTAAATAAATTTTCTTTAAGTTTTTGGATGTTAGCCTTCCGAATGGCAGTACGCAATGCTAACCACTCTACTACCGCGGACGCCAAGTACATAATTTTTTTTTAATTTAAAATATAAAATATAAATAAAATAATTTGTAATAATACTTATACTAACATTTGATGCAAATTGTACAAATACTTTCGACGTGACATCGGTAAAACAAAACAAAAAATTACCGTAATTAGCAATCGCATCGTTCCTTTTACATTTTGCTTATACTCTTAACATATTAGACGAGATTTACAGACCTATTCTGCCGAGGTAATAAAATTGACTTTCGTATTAAAATTTACCATTCAATAAATTTCGTTACTATCTCGTATTCTGACTTCACTGTCACCTGTTCAAGTGCAAAAAGGTGCCTGTGCTTGCGAGAAAAAAATTACCCTTTTTATTTGGAAGATAGTGTTTTAATTCAGCTTTGTTTGTTGCCCTGAAATATTTGCCGTAATTAGGTACAATTATTTATGTCTCAATAAACAAATAAATAAAACTTATTTATTTTTTGCGCTCCGACTTCCATTTGAATATATTCGTTTTTACTTTACCCACAGACAAATGTAGTTTGACATGGTGGGAGAAACCAGTGCTGCCAAAGTTTTGTCGAACAATCTGTGCGCTGGAATACCAAATTCAATTCCGGGCGTTAAAAAAAGTAACAAAATTTGCGTTACCGGTAGCAGTGAGAGATGTCTCTCATCAAGATCACTAACCAAAAAAAAACACGCGAAGAAATGTTAAAAACAGAACTTTGGCACATGTTCCATTTTGCATTTAGATATTTCAATTTGTGGTATGACCAAATAAAACAAATAAAAATTTTGTTAATATTAGTTAAGTTCAATAAATTCCCTATAAGAATATGTTAAACCATTATATTTGTTTGGAATTAAAATTTTGAATTGATTTTTTTGGACGTGGTTGACATGTCTGTAGAAATGCCCATACGTGAGTAAATTGATATTCGATTGTTTTTCAAATTTTATTTCACTAAAAAAATTATTTTTTTTCTTTCAAACCAAACAAAATTTTTACCTGAGAAATATTTCTTTGCATTCGTCGCGCCGACAACAGCAGCACTATTTTCCGTGGAGCTACCAGCCTCAGTATTTTGGATATTTTCATTAGCGGAACTTGAAGATGTAGCACCGATATCAGTAATTATAGTGCTTGCAGTGCTTGATACCTCTGCAACATTAGAGCTCTCTGTAGGAGCATTAGTGGTGGACACTGCAGCAATACCGTCATCTTGTGCTTTCACTATGCACAACAACAATGCGAAAATGCAAAAATTGCATAGAAATTGGTTTGGAAACATTTTTGAGTATTTGATTTTTAATTTATTTTCTTAATTCAGTAATACTATGTACTGTTTTTTTTTTTTTTTTTTTGATTTCTCGATTCACCAACACAAAAAATAGTCAATAAAATTAATAAAAATATTTTGCTGATTTTATTTGAAATTATCTAAATAGTTTTGTATTCGGGGTAAGCAATGTAACGCGTCTACAACTACTGACCGGCTTCTGAATTTAGATGCATTTGTGCAGCTGGTTTTATGGCATGTTTCATAATAGATTAAATTGATTTAACTATAATTTTATGCAATTTTATTTGCACTCGAAAACAAATAAAAATACCGGCAAACTACTTTTTTGTACATATATTTATTTGTATATACATACACGTATATATGTACTCATATGTTGCTAATATAAGAAAACGAGTCGCTTTCTGCAGTTATAAGCACAATTAAATACACAATTAATTGTAATTTGTTTATGCCGCGTATTCTAGTGCAAGTTTGTACGAGGGTTACCTTTAACATTTCGGCATTTGGTGCTAACTGGCAACTGACAACTCCAACGTGAAGTTTGACATTTTTCGAGGTTATATGGTAATGGTTATAGTATTATGGTAAAATTTACGGTAACTTCAAATCTTCATTTCGCCCAAAAAATTTAATCAATTTATTTTTTACCACTTTCGACGTGGATTAACACAGCAAAAGTGCATCTATAAGATTAATTCATTTTTGGCAAGGAAGCTCCACAACAAGCCAGTGTTTATCGATGGCATGCTGAAATCAATCGAGGTCACTCCCAGACGAATTTTGTGAATTTTGTCCTCAATCAGTCTGCAGAATATTGAGGCTTATACGAGGGGATTAGCAAAAGTTCAGTAAATTGACCAGAAAAAAAAATTTATTTATACGTAATCTTTGTCCGTCTTTATCTTCTGGACATAATCACAATTGATTTCAAGGCATTTCTCAAGCCTATAGATCCACTTCTGCAAACAGTCTTCAAAACCTTGCTTTTTGAGCTTATCAACTTCAATATTAACCGCTTAATTATCTCCTCGCTGTAATTAAAGACCTTTCTTTTTAATTTTTTTTAACTTTTAAAAATAACCGGAAATCACAAGGCCCTTTATCTAAGCAATATGGTGCTGGACGCATTTCATCGATGACATCGCTATAAAATTACTCGTCATTTCAGCAGTGTGGGATGGCGCAAATCCTCTTTCTTCCTGTTTTCCAACAAATTTTTGAAAGCTTTTGGTAAGCACTCCTTGGTGGTACCATTTTGCACTTACCGTGTGGTCCACTTTCAGTGGCATAGCAACTACGATTTTAGATCGGGTGAAGTAAACTCACTTCATTACTTTTGTTGATGTTTTTGTTTCTTCGATTTTAAGGGTTTGCTCCTGTTGGGCGCCATACCAAGGACTGCTGTTTGGTTTCTAGATTCGTCACCAGTAACGTCTTTACTAAAGTTGCTAGACTGTCCATTTTCGAATTTCCGTAGGGAAAATTTGAGCAAAAGGTACTTGAGCCTCTTCGCGATATAGCCATGGCATTCAAGCCCAATTCATTAGCAATCATTTCTTGTGTCAATCCTGGGTCTTCTTGGACTTCACCATAGCTGCAGTGACGTCATCAGTGGAAGATTTTGGTCGACCTTCTCGGAGCTTGTCCTATACTGAAAATTGTCCGTTTTGGAAGCTTCGGAACCACTTAGAAATAGTTCTTAAAGACGGTGCAATCATTCCATATACACTTTGGCGTTCGCTGCATATTTGTATGGCGAATTTCTGTTTGCGTTGGTGGTGGAATTTCGTCTGACCTATCCGCAGCTATCTCGTCTCCATTTTAGCCGATCGTTCTAAAATTTGAGAAGAAGACTAATAAACTAATTGCAAAGGTTTAGGTACTTTTATTTATTTTTAAGTCACCAACTGACCAAACTTTTGTTAATCCTCGTATTACAAGATCGTCATGTGACCTATTGACCATGAGACTGAGGTAGCTAGAGGCATTGATGCGTCCAGCATACAATCAATGTTAAATGAATTTTTGGATCCCACATAATTTCTCAATCGTTCAAAACGGGACACGTGGCGGTCGGTGTAGAAAAATGTTAAAAAAAAAATGCTATGGCAATGCTTCGAAACACGTAAATGACATCGTGACAGGTAATGAATGGTGGATTTACGCGTATGAGCTCGGAAGTAGGAAGAAGATGAGCCGAATCCAACAAACAAGTTCTTCGCTCACCAAGTACTTCCAAGCAAATGGTTGTCTGATTTTTTTTTTTTTTGTAAAAACTAGACACGTCGCAAGCGTAACACTAGAACAACGTGGAACGGTCAATTCTGAGTGTTACACGACTATTTGTTTGCCAGTTGTCTTTCAAGAAATCAGCAAAACCAACCGCCGAAAACGACTACTCGCATACCCACTGAAATAATGGCATTTTTGAGCACTCAAAACATCGTTGGATGAGTCGTTCACCTTATAAATAATGCCGACTTGACAGCAAACGACGTCTTTTTGTTTCGGAGCGTAAAAAATAAACTAAGAGGACAACCTGAAGAAGGCTACGGATGCGTTCGGAACGCATGCTCCGCAAGCCCGTAATATAATAGGCAACCGTCGTATGTATAATATCGTAAAATACTTCGAGTGTGTACCATTTATTCACTTACATATTTTCAATAATTATAGTAAAAATCGGCGGCTGGTATAGCCGAGTGGTTAGAGAATCTATTGTATAATGTGAGTGTTTTGTACTATCATTCGAAAGGGCAGGTTTCGATTTCTGGCCCCACCGACATCCAAAATTCTAGGAAATTGAAATTTCGAATTGCTGATTGTCAAATCCTCCGAAATGTTTTTCTGACACGAAGTACGAGCTCCTCATTAAAACGAAACCTGCCATTCGGAGACGACTTAGAATAAATTGGAGAAGGAGGCCGGCCGAATAACGCTACAGTGGTTACAAAGCGCTAATTATTATAAAGTAATAATCGATTTATTTTATACACAATAGTTACAAATGCAAATTAATTAATTTATCACTAAGTAAATAATTAATTTTTTATTGATTATTTTACAACCAACACAAGAATTGTTACAATGTATGGAAAGAAAAATCTCGTGATGGGAGGTTTTATGGGCAGCAGTTTTTAGAAATTATTTTTTGTTATTATTGTTTACTGTTATTTCGTATTACAATTCCTAGCACGCTTTTGAAAGCTGACATTTAGACATGCTTTTGATGAGGAAAGTTCTCCAACTCATCATTTGTATGGAAGTTATTTTGATAAGAACATTAAAACGCAACAAAAACGCGCCGAAAACTGTAATTGAATGCCGGAGTCGAGAGTGGCTTGCACGACTCCGTTCCGAGAATTTTGAAATCAAAGATGCATCTCGTTCTGGTCGACCAGTCACTCAAATGGCCGATCTATCGAATTCTACAACAGTTGGAACAAGACCAACACGGAGAACGGAGGCATTAGGCATCACTCAGTGTTGAAGAATGGGAGGATGAGTTAAAGAAGTTCACGCAGTCGCTGTCAATTTTGGCTGCCATTCACCTGCGAGTGGCCAGCACCTACCACATAAATAATATACTCAAATGAATACAGCAATAAGCCTGGACTGAGAGATTCCTCTTTTGATGACGACCATGGCAGACGTCTGAAGAACGAGGAACGCTAAATATGGTGTTGGATTTATGGTGGGAGGGAGACTCCGTTGCCGAGTATAGCCACTTACTCCGTTGGATGAATGTCTGATCACAATCTGCATCAAATCGAAACTTTCCAACATATCGCTGATTTGCGATTTCCGTCTAGAACTCGCCTATGATGTGAAAATTGTGCTTTGGTGACTATGAGGACCTAAAATCGACTTGGATTACTAATTTGTCGCAGCAAAGATAGCATCCACCTCTGTCTATCAAGAAACACCAAGAAGGTTCGACGTCGAAAAGCTGCAATCTCAACAGATAACCGAACGGTTTCGACAGCGTCAGAAAATAAGTTATTATGATAGGGAATGTCAAACTGCAGTGGCTAAAGAACAGGCTCTCTACCTTGCAACTTTGAGCTATACTGCATGTTGCAATGTGGGGTATTACCGATAACCGGAGAGGTAAGAAAGACGCATTTCAAGCAAAGAAAAGAAAGAGACCGAGTTCGTGAACACTAAGAGCTTGTGAAGCTGGCCGACGAGGGTGTTGTTCGAAAATTTTATCAAGAGATGCGGCATGCTCACAGAAAGTTTCACGTACGAACCAAGAATCTGATGTGCGATATCCAGAGCATTCTTGATGCATGGAGGAAACACTTATCCAGCCTGCTGAATGGCGGTGAAAGGGCAACACCAGGGGATGGTTAAACCGAAACCCCAATAGTTGATGATGGAAAAAACGTTCCGTTACCCGACCATAAATAGATTCGAATAGCTATTTCTCGCTTAAAGGACATCAAATCGGCTGGAGCATGCATTCGCTTCTGTACAAAATATGGTCGGTTGAAAGCATGCCCGACGATTGGAAGCAAAGTGTGCTCTGTCCAATCCAAAAAACCTACGATCCCACAGTCTGAGCCAATTACTGTTGAAAAAGCCTTCTTAATATCGCATATAAGGTCCTGACGAGCGATTCGTCAATAAACTGATTGTACCTTATCAGTGAGGCTTCAGACCTGATAAGTCAACCATTGCCTAGATATTCACAATGTGCCAAATCTTCGAAAAGACCCGTGAAAAGAGAATCGGCACCCACCACCTCTTCGTCAATTTTAAAGCCGCCTTCGATAGCACGAATAGGAGCTTCCTTTGCGCCGCCATGTCTGAGTTTGGTATCCTGCAAAACTTATACCTCTCCGAGCCGTTCGGTACCAAACGAGGTTTCATGTAATTTCATTAATTTGATGCTGGAGAGAATAATAGGAGCTGCAGAGCTGAATAGAGAAGGTAAAATCTTCTATAACAGTGTACAGCTGCTGGCTGATATTGACGTTATCGGCCTTAACAACCACGCCGTCAGATCTGCTTTACCGAGTCTGGATAAGTAAGCGAAAGTTGTGGGTCTGGTAGTGAACAAGGGCAAGATGAAATTTCCCGGTCATCGCTTTCGCGACTCGACTCCCACATCACTGTTGACAGTCAGATTTGTAGATAACTTCGTCCATCTTAGAACCAGTATTAACACCAACAGCAATGTCAGCTTGGAAATCCAACGTAGAATCGAACGAAGACTGAACTCTACAAATCGCGTATCGTTCTCCTCCTTATATTGTATATGGTGTGGATTCCGGAACGATGACAACATAAGATGAATCGACCTTGGGAGTCTTCGAGAAAATGGTTTTTAGAGCAATTTGCGGTACTTTGTCCATTTCCAACTGCGAACACAGCGACATTGACATTGCTCGGCATCTAAGGATACTCCGCTGGTTTTATTCTATGTAATATTCAATGTTCATAGTACTCTGGGGAAAGCAGGGGTAAAGGACACATGCCACTTCGTTGCAAGTATCAGATAGAAAGTGACCTGGTTACACTTCGAAATTCCAACTGGAGCCAAACAGCGAAAAGTAGGGAGATAAATGGTGCGCTATCATTGATTCGGTAAAGAAGAAGAGAAGAAAATCTTGTGTGTTTTTCACCACCACAACATCAGACCAAATACAGTTTTTATGACCAATTTTTATGAAAATTTGAAATTGCTTGGGATGATTATGAACATAACCAACAACTGGCCAAGCAAGGTGTTTTATTAAAGTTTGTTTTAAATAAGAAAGTATTTTGTTCAAAAATACACAAAAAACTTTGGTGACGAACACGTGCAGTAAATCATTAAAAAATTGCTAAGTAATTTTTACTTACAATTTGCTTCAAATAATCAAGGTTAACGCACATTGTTATATTTATACAGCAACTAATTTCAGTTTGTAATTGCAAGCGCGTTTAACACGGTCATTGTCACCTGTTCTTCGCACAGCACTACCAAAGTAGCTTTCCTTCAACTCTACCCGAGTGGCAATAATTTTCAAGCAACGTAGCAATATGTCGCTAAAATTCTAAATAAACTTGAAAAAAATTCTCAGTTTAAAAAATACAATAGTTGTTGTTATGAAAACACAAACTTTTTCTTAGATAAATAAAATTACTTTAGAATAATCTCATATATGTTTATATATGTAAGATATAACCTCAAACTTAAGCAGTTTTAATTTCAAAAATCTTTGCTAACATTTTACACAATTCGGTAGATAAAAAAACATATGAAAGGGTGGAAAGACTTGGAGTGCGTGGTTATAAGTGTTATTTGCTAAAGAAATCCGAAATAAATCATAGAAGAGTGAATATCTTTTGCTATATTTAGTTTATTTCCAAAACCTAATAGGATATTTATAATATGGTGAATAAGATATATACAAATATTTCCTCAAACTATTTCACTAAAATTTTTGAAACTTCTAATTAATTTGTTATGAATAAATCAAATGGTAAAGCATCGTTATAAGCATTGAAGAAATGCAAGGCTATTGGCTCAAGATCTTTTTTAATTTCGGCTATCATCTGTTTGTAGTATGAATTCCAGTTTGTATTGATATAATTCACAATTCCGTTGCCTTAAAATAGAAAGTAATAGTTTTTGTTATATACAATACAAAGGGGTTATAGGTTTGCATTAATATTATGTATTATTTGGTTTTTTTTTCATTTTTTTGTAAATTTTTATTTTATTTCTTATTTTTAAATTTTTTACTTTCTCATTTATTTTACATTTTGTATTTTACATTTTTTTGTTATTTTATGTTTTATCTTAATTCATTTTAATTAATTCATTTTGTTTTAATACCTTTTTCACCTTAATTTATTTAATTTTTAGTTTGTTATTTCAATCAAATATATTTTGTTTTAAATTTTGAACTAATGAAGTTAATAAATTCGCTTTACATTAATTAATTTGATTTGATTCTTTATTTTCATTAATTTTCTGTTTTTTACACTATTTTAGTTTATAACATTTATTTTATTTTTCTATTTATATTTATATATTTACCTTTATTTTTTTTGATATTATTTCATTTTTTTCATTTAATTTATTATTTTACCTTTTTTTTCTTATTATATTTTACTTTATTTTCTTTTATTTTATTTTTATTATTTTTATTTTACTTTATTCTGGCTTATTTTATCCTAATTGTTTTTATTTAATTTCATTTCATTCAATTTTATATAACTTAAGTATATTATATTTTATTTGATTTTATTTAAATTGTTTTATATATTTAATTTTTTATCTCTTGTTTTTTTAATTTTATTTTACTGCATTTTGCATAATTTAATTAATTTTTTGTTTTACTTTTTTATATTATAATTTGTTTTCCTTTATTTTATTTTTTCTTTTTGGTTTTATTTTATTTCATTTTTGCTGTATGTTCTATTTTTTTATTTTTTTTTTTAAATTGTTTTATTTAATTTATTTTGTTTTATTTTATTTTACTTTTTTTTATTTTATTTTATTTTATTTTATTTTATTTATTTTATTTATTTTTTTTTATTTTATTTTATTACATTTGATTTTTTTCATTGTTATATTTTATTTCATTGTTTTCATTAGTTTATTTTATTTCATTTTTTTATTTTATTATATTGTATTTTTTATATTATTAAATTAAAATATTTATTATATATATTTGATTTTATTTTTTTTTATCATTTGATTTTTTTGTTTCATTTTATTTTGTGCTTTTTATATATATGACGTTATTTTATTTTACTTTATTACATTTTTTTATTCTATTGTATTTTTTTTTTTTATTTATTTTTTTTTTTTGTATTTTTTATTTGATTTGATTAAATTTTATTTTAATTTATTTAATTTTGTTATTGTTTTATATTTCATTTAATGTGTTTTTTTATTTTATTTTATTTTTTCTCTGTTTTTTCATTATTTTATATTTTTTTTTTAAATAATTTTATTGATTTTATTTTATTTCGTTTTATTTCATTGTTTTATTCCCTTTAATTTTGTTCTATGTTATTCATTAACTTATTTTATTTCATTATTTTATATCTTTTTATCTTTATTTTATCTTATTTTAATTCATTTTTTTGATTATTTTATTTTATTTCACTTTCGTTTATTTTATTTAATTAATTTATTTTTTTTAATTTTATTTTATTATGTTTAATTATTTTTTTTTGTTTCTTTTTATTTTGTGTTTTTTTATATTACGTTATTATATTGCATTCTTGATATCATTTTATTTTATTTTTTTCATTTTATTTTATTTTAGTTTATTTCATAAAATTATATTTTTTATATTATTAAAATAAAATACTTGTTATAATTATTTATTTTTTTTATTTGATTTTATTATCTTTCATTATTTTTTTTTGTTTCATTTTATCTTGTGCTTTGTTTTAATATTAATTTTGTTATTATTTTATATTTCATTTTATGTTATTTTTCAATTTTCTTTTATTTCATTTTTTTATTATATTGTTTTCATTTTAATTTATTTTATTTTTTCTTTGCTTTTTCATTATATTATATATTTTAATATATTATTGATTTTATTTAATTTTTTTTATGTCATATACTCTTTTATTTTATTTTATATTGTATAATTTTTTTGTTGTATTTTTTGTATTACTTAATTCAAAATTATTTATTTTGTTTTATTTATTTTTTATTTTTTGTTATTTTATTTTATTTTATTTGATTTCTTTTTTTTATTTCATTATATTTTATTTTATTTTATATTATTCATTAACTACATTTTATTTCATTATTTTGTATATTTTTATTTATTCTTTAATTTTATTTTATTTCAGTTTATGTAATTTTATTTTATTTCATTATATTATATTTTAATTTATTTTATGTTAAATTATTTTATTTTATTTAAATTGAGCTTATTCCAATTAACTGTTTCTGTTTTTCCTAATCATACTTACTTATGGCTTTATCCGGATCAAGATTGTCCGCTTGAATTGAGAATTTATCGATTTGCGGTTCATAATCGAGTTTTTTCAGTTGGAAGTGCTTATGGCCTCCGCGCTTCACCAGGTCTCCTTCAACCAGAATTTTAAGCTGGATTCGAGCTAAGAAAATTATAGAAAATATGGTTTAGTTGTTTTATCTCTCTTTCTATTTCTCTCTCTCTCTCTCTTACTTATAACTCCAGAAAAAGCACCGCCTCGATTGAATTTTACATCCTTTAGTTTTAAGTCCGCCTTGTAATCACCATAAAAGTAAATATGTGGCGTTGTTGTGTGTATCTCAAAACGAGCATGATCGTCAGTTATTTGAGCTAAAACCTTTCCTATGTCGGTATCATTAATGCCAAGTATATGTAAACCACGTAATTGCACAACTCCTTGTCCCATTTTGACGTACATAGCAAGGTTATCAATAAGAAGAGGACCTAGTACCGGTATATTTAATTCCGGGATACCATCTTTCAAACGTGGTTTCAGTGCTTGGTAGGCGTTTTTGATGCAGTTGTTAATTTTGGGATCATTACGTTGACATGTTGGTATATCCGCCGCTAAGAATATTAAATAAATTGTACAGTTGTAGTTTTAAAATTACGAATCTGGAACAATTTTCCCGGGGTCCAATTTATTCTGGTAATACTCACGTAAGCTTGTAATTTTCTTCAACTCGGGCAATTTCGGCAATTCCGGTTTCTTTTGTGCCGTACACCATGCAGATAGGCAGGACAATAAAATCAATACAAACGATGATAACAGCATTTTTAAGTTTCTCACTTGATTAATGACAAAATAATATTTTACTTTCTTTGGATATCTGGTCCGTTCATATCTTAATTATTCACCTTTTTTTAGTTAAACCTTTGTGACAGCTCTTAGCAAGCCTTGCAACTGAATTGAATATTTGCAGTTCCATTGGTTTTTATCGAAAAACATCGATTCGGTTTTGTGTAATAATGCGTTATTACTGATTTCAATTCTCCGCTTCATAACAGTATGACAAATTTTCAATTTAAATTATCGAAATTCATTAATGCATTCTTCATGGTCGTTGTCATGGTAATTACAAAAGAAAGTATTTCAAATAAGTTATACCAATTTACACGGTATTTCAATTATTTATGCCATTTCCAGCATGTCGCACGGGGCATTCTAAATGATGGGTAAATACTTTAAGTTACAGCGTTTAGTTAATACTATTATTGATTTTGAATAAAAATTTGTAAGCGTCTTTGTAGTTGTCTTTGCTCTCAAGGAATATCAGAAACTCTTGACATTTGCACAGCAGCAATACAGATGAGATGTTTGGATACCACAGGATCTAACGCAAAAAAACATGATGGACCGAATTTCCATCTGCGAATCGCTACCGAATCGCAAGAAAATCGACCCGTTTCTGAAGCGGATTATGACTTGCGATGGAAAATGGGTCTCTTACGACTACATCGAGCACAAACGGTCGATGTCGAAGCTCGGGGAAGCGGCCCAGACGGTGGCCAAGACCGGATTGACGGCCAGGAAGGTTTTGCTGTGTGTTTGGTGGGATTGGCAAGGAATCAACTATAACGAGCTGCTTCCCTATGGCCAAACGCTCAATACGGCCCTCTACTGCCAACAAATGGACTGCTTGAAGGCATCACCCATCCATAAGAGCCCATCTTTGTTAAACAGAGACCGAGTTGTGTTCCATTAGGACAACGCCAGGCCACACATGTCTTTGGTGACGGGCCAAATTCTCCAGGAGCTAGGATGGGAGGTCCTAAAGCACCCACTTTTTAGTCCGGACCTGGCACCAAATAATTACCATCTTTTCCTGTCCATTGCGAACGCGCTTAATGGTGAGAAGTTGGTCTCAAGAGAGGCCTGTGGCTCTCCGATTTTTTTGCCAATAGGAACGCAGCCTTCTACGAGAGGGGTAAATTGAAATTGGCATCTCGTTGGCAACAATTTTACGAACATAATGGCGCATATTTGCCGTACACCAAGTTATCATATTTTGAAAAATCAATAAAAACCCGAACAAACCTCTTACTTCACCAAATATTTTTGAAATGGTTATAAAAAGTAAAAGCTCGATCATTTGCCTACACAGTGCACTCAAAGGTAAGTTATTTTTATCAAGACAGAGGGAAGGAAAGAGAGCAATTTGAAGAGAACTTAATTTTTTGAGATTGATGAATCCGAATCATCAATTCATCCGAATTTCAATTTAAGGAGGATGATATGTCATTAAGAATGAAACTTTCCAATAGCAAATTGCAAATTGGCTGGTATTTGCACTCAATAGCTTTCCGAGTCCATCTTTGAGGTGACGATGGTCTGTTGACGTATACCTTACCTTTCATTTAACCCCAAAATGAGAAATGCTAGGTGTTAAATCATAAAATCTCGGCGGCCAATTGAGATCACCTCTTGAAGAGATGAGATGATCCGGAACTTTTTCCCAGCAAGATCGGTGGCTTCGTTGCTTGTGTGACACATACCGCCGTCTTGTTGAAAGTAAACGTTGGTCAGATCGATCAATACCTTTCATAAAAAATTAAAAATCATCTTTCGATAGCGCCGTCCATTCACCGTAACTTATCAGCAACGACGTTCTTGATGATCGACCGGCTTAAGTTCTTGTGTCAACTGAACTTTATAAGACGTACGATCCAAGTCTCTATGCAAAGAATGGTATGAAATCTCCAATTCCAAAGAACAACGAGACATTGACAAGCTTGGGTTTTCCTTAAGATAGCTCTCCGGTAGAAATCGCTTGCACAGCAAAGCATTATGCTCCTTAACTCGTAGCATACATTCTTTGCTGTGCAAGTGATGATTTGGTGACATCAGAAGGTTTCCTGTCGCGGTCCTGATGACGGTGTTTTGGCAGCGCTCAGATCGATACAGTATAGCTTACGAGTAGCTAACCAATTGGCTTGTAGGTTGCCAGCAATGTTTCTTTGTCTTTTCTCAATGTGCTTCCGGCTGATGCTTTAACGACTTTGTTGCGTTTTTGGTGCTATGTGGCAATGGCAGTCGTATGCGGAGTGAATAAGTTCAAGCCGGTTGTTCTGTACGTGAAGACGTATAGTATTATGTATTGCCATTCGGAAAGCTATGGATCGAGTCCTTGTTCGACCGACATCCAAAATAATAGAAAATTCATTTTTCTAATTGCAATCGCTACTCGGCAGGGAATGTCAGGCCCACCGAATATATTTCTGACATGAAATAAGAAAAAAGACTTTATAAAAATCCACCGGTCGTTTGGACGAGGCTTAGAATAAATTGTAGGTCCTTTAATTTCCTACTAATCGGAAAACATCAAGACACAGTGTAGAAGTAGAGAACGGTGTTCGAGATAACAGTTCACCTTCGAACATAGAATAAGTAAGTCATCGTTATACCAAAATCGAGCAATCATCGCCATATGAGATCAGTGAAACTCCCTTCTAGAGTTGGAAGGAGCTTCGAGATAGAGAAGTTAAACAAGAATGGGTTCTCTCGCCATTCAGAAACCCTTGTTTAATCTGAGTTTGGATGTTTGACCTCGAATTCTGCCGTTGATTGTCCAGAACTCAGGTAATCCATGGTCTACCTCTCCAACCCCGGCGGTAATGAGCACTGAATGATTGAATGCAATGCTAATGTGCTGCTGGACTCAGATGGTGTGTGAAGGACGGGAACAGCAAGCCACCAAGAGTCTTTGCTACTGGGGAGAGAAGAGATATCGGCCGATATGATTCTTCCCTACAGGCTGATTTCCCCGGTTTTTGTAGCAGGACCTCCATAACCATTTGCCACATGTCGGATATTTTTACCGTGGTCAGTGACAAATTGAGGGCCTTGTTAATATAGTCTTTCGGCGACCTCGCCCCGTAGAGGCTAACAGATAACTGGTAACGTAAGATATAAAGTAATTTCACTTTCTATCGAAAAGCTCGAAGTATTGCGTAGTTTTATTAAATACTATTGTGTGGTGATTTCTGTTTTTGTTGTAACAAATAAGTTAAAGTCTTTACTCAATAACAAATAAACAACAAGTTTTTTAGTGAATAATAATATAATAAACCAAAACTTATAAAATATTATTATTATTAATTCTATTTAATTTTGGTCTGCTAAGTGAAATATATATTTTTTAGAATACTATAGATTATTTTGAATGTTTATGGGATGATATTAATGAACAATTTAAATGGTATTGCATCAGTATAAAAGTTTAAAATATGTAAAGCAATTGGTCCAAAATTCTTCTTAATGGAGGCTATTAAAAACCTGTATTATATACTCCAATTTTCATTGATATACATATATCAAAATGTTCGCTTCTGCAATGAAAATAACAAAAATGAAATGTTTTACAAATCGCAAAATAAAATTGTGGTATTGATTTGGTAATTTCCAATATAATTTAACAGTTCGATTTAACAATTCGATTTAATTTTTTTCTCTTATCTACTTTTTATATCTTATTTTTTTCTTTTGTTATTTTTTTTACTTCATTTTATTTTATTTTGTTTTATTTTATTTTCTATAAGTTCATGCAACTCTTTTTTATTTAATTATATTTTATTTAATATTAGTTAGTTTAATTTAATTTAGTTGCTTTTATTTCATTTTAATTTATTTTATGTTATCTTATTTTACTTATATTATTTTTCATTATTTTATTTCATTTTATTAAACTTTATTTTATTTTATTTTATATTATTTCACTTAATTTTCCTTTTACCTATTTAACTTCAATTTATTTCATATTATTTTATTTTTATTATTATTTTTATTTTTTATTTTTTGTTTATTTTACTATATTTTATTGTATCTTGTTTATTTAAGTTTTTTTTCTATTCTATTCTAATTAGTTTAATTCAATTTAATTGATTTTATTTCATTTTAATTTGTTTTATTTTATTTTATTTTATTTTATTTTATTTTATTTTATTTTATTTTATTTTATTTTATTTTACTTTATTTTCTTTTATTTTATTTTACTTATTTTAAGTTGTTTTCTTTTATTAATTTTTATTTAATTTAATTTATTTTTTATATTGTTTCATTTTATATTAAATTATTTATTTCCTCGTCCTTTACTATATTTACCGCATAGAAATCCTAATCACTGATATCCGGTTCAAAACTGAATTTATCCTCTCGGAGATATTTGTTACCTTCACGCTCTGCTACATCCCTTTCACCGTCATATCCAGCTGGAGATCAACTAAGCAAATAATAAATAATTGATTTATTGTTAACTTTTGCTATTTTTTATGAAAAATAATTATTTTTGCAATATTTCACTTACACAAAGTCCCATTCAAATAGCATTCGGTATTGATTTTTCCCATTTTTTATGTCGAAGTTTGTTTCGTACCCTCGTGATAAATAAATCTGTTGTACGGTTTTAATTTAAATTTCATGTGATTGTCATCTACATTAAAGATCAGTTCCTCAAATTTGGTTTCTTCAAGTCCAAGTATACGAAAATGATCCAATTGCAGAACTCCTTTACCTAATTCAGCGAACATTTTAAATCGATCAATTTCAAGGTGATCCAGCGGCGGTATGGTTAAGGCAGCGAAGTCATCTGTTAAACGCGACTCCAATATTTTATAGTTGATCGAAGCCATGCGCTGATGTTAGGATCACTAAAGTGGCATGTCGTTATATCAAAAGCTAAAAATCTCACACAAGAAAAAATAAAATATATTAAAAAAAATCAATTAGGTATTTGGGAGCATAAATATTGTAATGCAAGGAAATATTTTCACTAAGGAATAATTTCCAAGAAAGTACCCTCACGAATTTTAGTGATTTTCCGCAACACTGGTAATTCCGGCAAAATAAGAGACGCTGAGCAGGCGAGCAAAATCAGTACGAAAGAGGTGTGCAACAGTTTTAAATTCCAAATATATTTTAATGCTTATTTACTGCCAAAAGCAAGTTTCAGCTTGAGCTTTTAAGTATCTGGGAAACTGTGACCATTTGAAAATTTCACGTAACAACACTTTCAATACTTTTGAGAACATTTTATATACATATACTGCATGATATCAACGTTATTAACATATTTTATCGAGCAACGTTGCTTTTATACCAACTCGTCAACAACGGTGTGAAGCTTTTCAATTAAAATTTTATGGCAGTTCCTTATCCACCGTTAATATGTCATTTATTGCTTTAATTGATTGTTTATAATACATAAAATATTATACTGGCGTGAAAACTTACTTGATTAATAGTAACAGTGATATTAATTGTAATAATAATTAATTAATTAAAATTAAGTTAGGTTGAATGTTGCTGAAACAAGGTTGACAAGCTTTTAAATAAAATTTCTACCATAAAAAGTTTCTCGGATTCACAGTGAGTGTGACATAACCAGGCCCAACGAGAGGAGGGAGGGATCAGGGACTTTTCACCCCGGGCCCGTAGATTGCAAGGAGGCCAGGTGTTTTCATTGTCGTATATAAATAATTTGCTTCTAGAATATCTATGACGTAACTGACTACAGATTTTCATAAACTCGATCATCGCGGGAATAAGGGACAGATTTGCCTCAATAAGAGCATTTGTCTCCATTCGATTTGTTGAATGCTATCACCACCAAAAATTTAGATACACTGTTTCCAAACATCTGCATTGCTCTGCGGATATTTTGCACGTTGCCAGTCTCAGTTGCTAGCGCCGAGCGATCATTTAGCGTACTTTCAAGAATAAAGAACTATCATCGTTCTTGTTCAAGCCAATCTCGAGTCTCAGGACTGGCAACGTTATGTTTGGAATCTCAATTAGCTAGAAAACTTGGCTTCGGTATTATCATTGAGGAATTTACATCACCTAAAGCAAGGAATGTATATTACCTATTAAAATACTATTGTGATGCAAACTAAGGTAATAAAATTGTTTAAACAAAAATTGTTCCAGATTACTCATTCACGCTTAAGTTAAAGCTTATCAGTTTGCATATGTTTTCAACGACAAGTCTGGGCTCATGCTTAAATATAAATTATAACCACTGAAAACCGAAGAGGATCACATGGCGAGTTTCCGTTTGCGTTGGTTATGGCATTACGGCTGACCCATCCTCAGCTATCTTGCGTTGTCTCGCCTCCAATCAAAGGGGTAAAGCCACACTAGGAATATGGAAAACGCAAAAAAGCAAAGGGAAATGCTCACAGCGCATCTCTGGCGCAACTGGTTTCAAAGTGGAAAAAAAATCAAACAGCTGAACTTAGTTTATAGATCATAAAACCTTGAGTTTTTCTGTTCTCGGTCTCATCCTTTAGTAGAAATCGGTTCCCCCTTGGACGCTTTTCAAAAAAACATGATTTAAATAATGGACTTGCCATTTTGTAACAAAATGACAATTAAAAAATGTTAGTTTTTACTTCAATATATGTTTGTATGTCATATGAAATGGTTGAATAGAAATCTATGCCTTTTCCCAATATCCTACAATAAATTTAAAAAAATTTGTCTATTTTTCAACCTCTAGAGTGGCTTTACCTCTTAAGACAACGCAGCCGTTCACACCGCTCTGGTTGCGACGGATACCTTAAAAGCTAGTGGATTTACAGAAATTGACCATCCGCAGTACAGACCGCACCTGGATCCCTTTTTCCTTCTTTCAAATTTAAAAAAGGAGTTGTGGGAACAAAGATTCTCAGACGATAGTGAGATGAAAGAGTTTGATAAGAAATCTAAAGAATTGTGTTTCAGTGGTATAAAGGCATTGTTTGCACGGTGTAAAAAGCTTATTTCACTTGCGGCAGACTGCATTGAGAAACAAAAAACTTAAAACTACAAACATATTTGTCTCATTAAGTACTCTAGGCCGTGAACTTATAGCCGCCCTTCAGAGGTGTGTGTATATGTGCCAGTAATCTAAGTAAGATCAAAATACTGCAATATTCATACTTACTTTCTTCTACACATTGACGAATTAGACACTTGGCCTGATATGTCCAAAGGGGCCTTCATGGGCATTCCGTCGCCTTTAATTAAATTCTTTGGCACATTATGATGAATTTTAAAAAATGTTGAAAAAGTGTTCTCTTGTGCTTGTGTTATATGTTTTTTTCTAAAAGTAAGCTTTTACTTAATACATTTTAGAAAACAAAATCTGCTTACCTAAATTTTCCTAAACTTTCCGATAACAAGTTTCTTATTTGCCTGCCAGCAACCGAGTGCTTTCAAAACGCTTAGCGATTTCAGGCACATGCCATATCCTTGGGATTTGGTGCTCGATAAGGAAAACGGAATAGAGAAATTCAATAAATGGCTTTACGTTTTCGAAAACGCTTTGCAGCACATACCTGATAAAATAACGGATTAGAGTGAAATTAGTTTGCATATGTCCTTTGAACCACCTTTAATTTTGGTCGGGAACTCGCCCCACAATGAACTTATAAAAACAGTGACATGAACGTGTTATGCCTCACTGAAATTCAATTACATCTAAAATTGTATTAAATTAGAATTTTTAAAATTAAAGCTACAAATACAAAAGGCTTACAAGTAGGAAAATTTTATAAATAAATATGTACAACAGACATTAATAAATAAGTACGCTGAAATGAAGTTTAACATTTTACGAACTTCTGCCCTCCCCTTTTCCCCTCCTGATTTGGTCCTCCATTAATTACCCAATATATTTGCGATAGTGAAAGCCTGACACTCAATCGGCGGCCGCGTATGCAGTTTGCCCAACATATCGCCAGCAACATTCACCATACTAGTCTCACCCTCAACATTGACCACATCAATTTCGATCTCATCATCCTCCCCCTGCAAATTAAGCCTTTCCAATTGCTCCAACAAGCAGGTGGCACGCAATGTCTCCTCGAGCATGCGCCACTGCTCCAAATCAAATTGCTTACACTGTTCCTCGACCGCAATCTGTTCCAGCTTCTTGACACGACGACTCATACGGCAGGCGATTGTATTCTTGTTGCGGCGCTCCTGATCTTTGGGTGTACGCTCCTTCTGCGGAAATTTACGTACCATATTGGTGTGATATGTACAAATGCTACGTAATTTATCCTCGCTGATGCTGGTGAGAACGGCAGCGGTAGCCATTGGGTTGGCGCTGGGCGTCGCATTACTTGTTGTTGCAGCGGGCAATTCCAAAGTGCCGACAGGTGTCGCTTTGAGCACAGATTTAATGACACTGGCATTAATTTCAAGTGAGCCGCCACTTGTAATCGCTTCATTGATGTTTTTGGTGGCGCTATTTTCATGGGCGAGAGCACGCAGGGGGCAGGTTGTTGTAGGGGTCCTGATGGCTCTACGATTTTGATAGCTATACTTACGCTTCACAGGCGTATGGGAAATATTCTCTGCTAATAGCCCACCAGCAGCATCATCAGCACCCACCGGCGACTCAGCAATGTACGACTGCTCCAACGGCGCTTGAGTAAGGTTTGAAACTGGGGGCAGTTGGCGCTTAAATTGATAGTGAAGTGGCTCTCCTTTTGTTGTGGCATTCTCTACTGCAGTTGTTGAACTATTGCCACTGTCTGTGCTTGAATTATGTATGGCGAGCGGACCAGCGGGGTTCAGGCATGGCCGCTTTCTGCTTGGCGTGCTCGTTGCTTTGTATTGTTCAGCAAAATTTATGTAATCTGCGAAGACGGGCGTCACAGAACGTTCAGCCATGGCCATAAAATTATATGGAAAATAGTGGGCGGGGCTCACTAAGGGTTTGGGTACAGAACTCCCCTGCTGCCAATCTGGTACCGCATCTACCTCACGTGCACGCTTGACGTGGCCAAACTTCTTGTGTATATATGCGTTGTAATCGCTGCTGCGTGGCATCGACAAGTCCATTTTTCTTTTCTGGGTTTAAGAATTTTCAACTTTTGTTAATTATTTATTGTTGTTAGCAAAATTGCTTTTGCTTTTTGATGCAATTTTCCTTTATTTTGATTTTTAATAATTTCCACTTTTTTATTTATTTTTATTTTTTAAAAATATCGTTTATTATTTTTGGTCCTTTTTGTCCTTTAGAGTGAATTTTTATAAATCTCACTTTTTTTATTTAATTTTTTGATAAAATCGTTTTCTCTGTTTTATGCCATTGTCCTTTATTTATTTTTATTAGAGATAAAATAAATTTTAAAATTAAAAATTTTTGTTAACAATTTATTTTTCAATTTTGCGAAATGATTTTGTGAAATGATTTTGTGAAATTCGTTGTTGGAGTTTTTTTTTGCACTTCTTGGTACTAGCACTTCAGAGAATTTTCCGGGAGTGATGACATTCCCGCGAAATCTCACTTTTATGTGCAACATAATTTTCGAAAATAATACTTTTTGGTTGATACGAACAAACATATGTACTTATGTCTATGCATTCCTCACTCATATGCACACACATACATCAAACAAAATACAAAAATACATTTTTGACTGATAACTGCCAATGAAAAAACAAAAAATAAAAGATTCTTAATTGGTATGTTTACATTTTTCTTACAGTCGTCACGCTTGCTCATCAAAGCTGCACATACTCACACATATTTATGTACATAAATACCTATGTTTATGCAAAACAACAACAACATATCTATTGTTAACGAAACGGTACGGTATTTTTTGGCACAAACAAGTTGTTTTTCTACTTTCCTTTTGTTCTCACGTGAAATGAACCGCTAAGCCTGCGCTGAAGTCACCTCCTCCTCGGTCTATACACAGACAATCCAATGGGATTTGTTTACGCGTTTTGAATTTAAGCACAAGTTTGCCACATTATCATCACAGGACTTGTTTTTGCATGAATAAATCCTCTCCTGTTTGAACATGCTTGCACTACAATAAAAATAACAACATATGTAAGTATGTGTGTATTTCCATAAAAGTAAATGTTGGTCAAAGGTAACAAAACAAAAATTTTGCTCCATATACATACATATATGCAATTTTTTGTACCGAATCACTGACCATAAGAAAGGATTTTCCGAAACTGTACCTCCATAGGAGTTGGATTCTGACTTTAATTGATTTCTCTGTTATTTCTTAATATTCGAGTATCTTTTCCCCTTATTTATTATGTTTAGTAAACAATATACCATTATTTTTGAAATATATGGATTTCATGATCTGCATCCTGCGTATTAAAAGTGCGATGATTGGAGTACGCGAGATGGGCAAATTACCGTGGTATAATCCTCCTTAATATGGCATAAAAGGTTCTATCGAGTCTATATGGGTATAGGGTATATCACACCGTTAACAAACTCATTAGACTTTAACAGTGCGAATTCAGCCCTGGCAAATCCAAAATTGACCAGATATTCATCATGCGACAAATCTTAGAAAATACCCATAAAAAGACGATCGATCGTCCCTCAACACCTCTCATCACCTTTTCATCGATTTTACAGCACTCCTAAGCAGCTGCCTCTACGCCGCTATATCCATGAATTTGATATCCCCTTAACCGGCTGTGTAAACTGGAGCTGGGCAATACCAGAAGCGCTGTCAGACATGGGAAGGACCTCCCCGAGCCGTTCGATGCCAAATGAAGTTTCAGACAGATTGACTCTTTATAGTGTGAGTTCTTCAATTTGATGCTGGAGAAAAAAGTTAGAGGTATAGAGCTGAAAAGGGAAGGTACACTCTTTTACAAGGTTTTTACAAGTCGCCCATCACTCCCGTTTTATATCAGATGAGTGGCCTTGGGAGACTAAGAGAAAAAAGTTTCTGCGAAAGATTTATGGCCCTTAGCCTTGGTTGGATGAAACGATGAGCTATGGGAGTTATACGGTGACACTGATATAATTCAGCGGATGAAGAGACAGCGGCCAGACTATGGCTAGGTCATGAACGTCCGAATGAACGAAAGCGCTCCAACGTTGAGAGCTTTTATTTGGTGCAGTACCCGCCGGTGGGAGCATATGAAGGGGAAAACCTCTACTCCATTGGAAGGATCAATTGTAGAGGGACTTAGTTTCACTTTGTATTTCCAACGACTTTGGTCGTTTCATCGATTTCGTATTGGAAATCTTGAAGTAATTGTTTCCCCACGGTGTGGAAGGTCAATTGAAGAAGGAGCCAAGGTGTCGAAAGCGTCCATGAAATGACGAGTCTGACCATTGGGCGAGTACTGTATCGATTGCCCAGAAGCTAAACAATGTACAAAAAACAGTTTGGAGCCACTCGAGCCACTTGAATAAAGCTAGATGCCCAAAGAAGCTCGTTGATAAGTTCCAAGTGAATTAACGAGAAAATACTAATTGACTGAAATTTATTCTGCGAATTGCTGCTGCATATCTATAGGAAAAACCAAAAATTTTTGAAGCGAATGAGTGGTGATGAAAAAAGACCCACTTACAGCAACGTCAAATGGAAAGTCCTTTTGGTGTAAACACCCAATATCCCTTTATACTGCATCAAATTGACCGGGAGACTCGTCCCGATATGGCTGTGGGATGAAAGAGCACTATCTGTGATTCCATAAAAATAAGATGTGATATTTGTCCGTCTGGTCCATAAGTACAGTTGTGTGCTGCATAACTACAGCTAATACAAAAATAATCCCATCCCTGAGATATTAAGAGTTCCAAAAATTTTTAAAATACCACGATCCAGTGATATCACACCGTTAGAGTTTTTCCTGTCGGGATATGTAAAGTCTAAAGTCCCACTCCGATCCAGGCCTTGGAGCAAAACATTTGTCATATCATTCGCTAGTTACCAATCGAAATGTTCGAGGGGATAAACAAAAGTTCGGTAAGTTGACCAAAAAAATCTTTTTGTTTTTATTCGTAATCTTTGTTATTTTCTTTCTTCTCTACATAATTATCAAGGATTATCAAGTTCAGCATTAACCGCATTAATTACCTCCTCATTGCTATTCCTTTTCATTTTAATTTTCATTTTTGAAAATAACCAAGAATTAAAAGGTGCCATATCGGGTACCGGACGCATTTCTTCGATCACAGACATCGATACAAAATTACTCGTTATTTCAGCAGTGTGTGATGGCGCGCTGTCATCATGTAAAAAGTAGCGCCGCAAATCCTCTTTCTTCCTGTTTTCCAACGAGTTTTTGGAAATTTTTGGCAAGCACTTTTGGGTCTATAATTTTGCAGTTACCGTCTGACCATTTTCCAGTGGAATAGCAGCTACGATTATAGATCGGGTGAAGTAAACTTACTTCATTACTTTTGCTGCTGATTTTTGTTGCTTAGAATTTTACGGTTGGGTATGCTTCTGTTGGGTTCCATACCATGAACTACTGTTTGGTTTCTGGATTCGTCACCAGTAACGTCTTTACTGTTTAGGAACAGTGTGGCAAATTGCACTCGAGCCTCTTTTTGGGCCTCATATAAAAATCGTGGTACCCATCAAGCAAATTTCTTCATGTATCCCAGATGATAACTTAATATTCGCGATACAGACGCTACAGTGGCGTCATCTGTGGAGGATTTTGGTCGACCTTATCGGCACTTGTCATCTACGGAAAAATATCCGATCTGGAATCTTCCGAACCACTTAGTCTTTAAAGACGTGCAATTGTTCCATATGCAATTCGTCATTCACTGAATATTTGTATTGGCTGTAAATTACGCCGAAAACCGAAGAGAATCAAATGGGGAATTTCTGTTTGCGTTGGTGGTGAAATTCCGTTTGACCTATCCTCAGCTATATTGCGTTGTCTCGCCTCCAATCGAAGGGGTAAAGTCACACTAGGAAAAAGGAAAATGCATTTCTTTTTGCTTACAGTGTATCTTTGGGTCCTAGAAATGATATTCAACTGGTTTTAAAGTGAAAAAAAAATCAAACAGCTGAACTTTTCATGTTGCTGCAGCCCCCCAAAGCATACGCTGAATACAATGAAAGTTTTAAACGCGTTTTTCTCAAAATCACATTTTTTAAACTAAGTGGATAGATTATTCGGACGCTTTTGCATCGATTTATATGAAATTTTGATGGTAACTACGCAAATAATTTTTTTTTTATAAGTACTTAGCCTTTTTTGGATTAATAGAAATTAATAATTTGGTGCATATCTTTTTGTCAAATATCAATCAAATATCAAAATAAATCCATACCTACTTATAAAGACCAAGTTTGAAGATCATAAAACTGTTTGCTTTTCTCTTCTTGGTTTCATCATTTAAAAGAAATTGGTCCTTTTTTGGACGCTTTTCAAAAAACATGGATTAAATAATGGACTTTATCACCGCCATTTTGTAACAAAATAATCTGGGTTGTATAGAAACCGACACAGAATTGCTTGTTTATCGGAACTGAAAATCAATATCTGTTTGAATTGGTATTCTGAAACTGACTTGTTTTTTGCATTTTTTGAAGATAAGCAAAACCGATATTCGAATCAGCTGCAAACAGCAATGCAATTTCGTTTTTCTACAGACACAAAATGACTTCGGTAGTGACAGCTTTTTCGATGATAGAAGGTTTTGGAGAACAAACAAGCATTTGTAATAGTGCTGGATGTCATTGAAGACAAGTTAGACAGACTATCTATCCCACTTGCACTCTAATTTGCAGCAACACTGCGCTTTTTGGCAGAAGGCTCCTATCAACGGCCTGTGGGTAATGACTCGAATATCTCCTTAGCACGACCTACAGTTTTGGTGGTTATAACAGAAGTGCTAAATGCTTTTGCACGTTTGATTTGCCCACGCTGGCTAAAGTTACGAATGAACGACAATGAAAAGTGGAGAGCAAGTGACCATTTTTTCACCAAATATCTTTTTCCAGGCATTACTGCTTGCATCGACGGAACTCATATAGAAATGGTGAAACCGTTATGATTGTTTGTTAAAAACATAAAACTTATTATTTTGTTATAAATTTTTAATACTAAAATTCAAAGATTTGGGACTACGATATGCTCATAAGAGCGGTAGATGCAGGACA